GTATCAGCAGCTGTGCACTAAGCAGCAAAGTGTCACGCCCGACGATTCCAATGGCATGACACACTCCGGTTCCAGCATGACGGGTCTCTCTGGCCAGGGCGAGCAGGGACAGGTGGGTTTTGAATACTCTTTATATATGTTTATATTTATTAATTATGAAATTGTAGGACATGATGGCGGAAGCTAAGCTCCTGCGCCAGCACAAAGGACGTCTTGAGGCCCGCATGCAAATACTGGAGGACCATAATCGCCAGCTGGAAGCCCAGTTGCAGCGACTCCGCCAGCTGTTGGACGAGCCCAATGGTGGAGGCAGCAGTGCCACTAGCAGTGGCCTTCCCAGCGCTCCTGGCTCTGCCCTGAACTCCAAGCCCAACACTCTGCAAACCCGCTCGGTGACCGCCTCGCAGTTGAACACGGACTCACCGGCCAAGATGAACCAGCAGAATGGCCACTACGAGCATAATTCAAGTGAGTGAGGGGTTAAGAAATGGGTTGGTTTAAGGAAAGGAGCTAGGGATACGTGTGCTGACATCCAGCCTTATAATAAGAACTAATTTGTAAAAGGTTTAGTTTGGCAAACTTATAAGATCTGAGACACTGAACTTTAGACATATCTTTATAGGGAATACTATTAAATATATGATGTAAACATCAAGAATTAGCCTTTATTAGCCAGATTATAGACTTAAAACGGTTGAAAAAGAAGAAATTCTAATTCATTCTTTACAGCTAAATATTATCCAAAGTAGTAGAGCCTCAAAGGGAGTAAATTTATGAACAAAAAAACTAAGTTTAACAATTCTCGAAAGTGGCTTAGCGTAAAAGCAGTGTCAGCTAAGGAACTTTACCCAATGTTTGGACAGTGACAACCTCTCAACCGACTGGCAAAGGTGTCTTTCCTCTTGCCAACTAACCTCTAATTACGTCCTGTTCTTGTCTGTTCTGTCGTTTTCCCCCTCTTTAAAACTCCGTTCCTCTTAATGCTTACCCCCCCATTGCATCGATATGCAACCCCATCGATAACGAAACCACAAACACACACACACTCAATCTCGCAGAGGGAATTATGCTGCCGGGAATGGGTGGTGAGCTGCAGCAGCAGCAACTGGCCAGTCTGGCGGCAAAGCATCATCAGCACCAGCTCAGCGGCGCCCTCAACGCACTGCATCAACAGCAGCAGCAGCAGCAGCAGCAGCAGCAACAGCAACAGCAGCACCATCCGCAGCAGCCACTGCAGCATCCGCAGCAACATCCGCAACAGAGAAGCCTGTTGACAGGCAATGGAGCCATCGACATGTCCGGCGGCATGCAGACAGCGGGTGGCTACTTGGGGGATGACGGACGTCCGCCCCCACCACCGCACTCTAGCCTGATGCAGCACCAGCAGCAGTTGCAGCAACAGCAGCTGCAGCAACAGCAGCACTTGAACGGTGCGGAAATTGCGAACAGTCACTGTCATTTGTGGCGGGTTTAATTTTGTGGCCGCAGCTGTAGAGCTTGTGTTTCGTTTGTGGTGCCTACTTTCGTGCGCCGGATTTTCTGTTGCGTTTTTCAACAAACTCTTGGAAATTGATTGTAGAGATTGTTAAGATTGTAAACTTGTGTTGTGTGCACTTAAAATATGAAATTTAATTTTATAAATAATTTTGTTTTGCAAGAAATATCATTTGCCTGGTTTTAAGTTCGATTCTTTTGTGTTGTTTGTGTCGATGTTGTGCCTTGGTCGTATATTCTATCCTTGAAATACTAATCTCGATTATTTCTCTTGCTCTGCCTCTTATTCCTCCGCCCTCGCCCCACAGATCTTGCCTAGAAAGTGTTGGATTAAAGCGGTAATGCAGAACTTTTGTGTTGTCACTTGAATTTACCTCTGATCTAAAAAGAGTTTCAATTAGATTTATAATCTGTATTTTTCTCAATTTTTCTATAGAGAACGTTAGCGGCCTGGTGACCATCATAACCGAGCAGGAAATGGAGAGCACCAACGACGACCTGGACGAGTCGTCGAGCAGCAACACCACGAACACAACGACAACCACGACCACGGAGAAGACCTGCGTGGAACTGCAGAAGTAGTACCCCTTTCTCACCTGCAGGGCAAGGAACTTATCAAACGAAAACAAAAAGAAAAACAGTATGAAAAACCCAAAAGGAATAGCTGCAAGTGCGGAAATCAAATTGGCGGGCCTGCAACAAATTCTAAACAAAAAGAAAACATACCTAAACCTAACATAAAGATAATGTAAAATCCATACAACTATTGTGGTACATATACATATATTTATACATATGCATACGAGGAAGGAAAGAAAGAGTTTTGTGAAGAGCTTGCCAAAAGCTGAGGAAACTTTTTTAGTAGTTATGAAAGATACAAATCTATATATATTATATACACCTATCGAAGTACTATTAAGTGAGACATATTGAATGCTGGAAGAAATGCAGAAATGATTAATGATTAGATAAGCTGTAACGCCCACACATATATACCCACGATATAATAATGAAAACACCTATATCATAATCTAAGCATTATCATAAACTGTTATAACTCGCACTTATTCAAACAAAAAAAACTGACAAAAAACAAAGAAGATCAACTTCAGAGATACAAAAACTTAAGGCAAGGCGAGAAAGTTCTTTGAATAGACCCCATATCATTTGGAAGCTTATACAATAAGCGATTTCAATGTAAATGTCGAGACATTCAATCAGTTTTTATTTGTATCCTTATTTATTCCGAGTTTCTTGTGTATTATTTCTTAATATTATTTAATATTAATATCTGTGCTAACTGAAAGTGTGCTGCAATGTTTTTAATTAAAGAACTATTATTGAAACTCATTGTCTATTATTATTTGTTACTAGCACTTTGGTTTTAATTTTTGTAGATATCGCGATCACCGTGAACCTAATCATATGCTGACGAATACGATCACTAAATGGACCACCTTTTCTATATATTTTATCGAATCGAATCTATCTAATATCGAATACTACCAGAACCATGAAATACATTAGATAATCCACATAACATTCCAATGCAACTAGTCAAATTACACAAATGGATAACTCTGATATTCTTACGAATGAAATGATAACGAAAACTGCTTTAAACTTACCTATAAATACCACAAAGAACTAATCGAATCGATAAATTTAAATGTCTACCCAATATCGTACAATACATCAATATAAGCAAAGGATATAGCAAAAAGGAGAGTGACGTTTTAACCTAGATATGCCCCAGATCGATAAATATATACACACACATATATATTATATATATACATATATAAATATCAGATATTAGCTCTGTGTATAACTTCTAAAATCTTTTTTGTGTTGATTCGTTTTGAAACTTCCACCCTTAGTTAACTAAATTTATAAAAGAAATTAAGTACGAAAATGAGGACAATATGGAAAGAGATTTAGGAACTTTTATAATTTTGATTTCTAAACTATCAATATTTATTTACCTTTACTAGGTTCCACTTGTCACTAGAATTTCCAGGCACTTAGCGAACTAAAAAATGACTTAAGATATAGAATGAATTATATAAATAGATATATATTACTATCAAACAAATGCAGTTAGCTAAATTTTCATCCACTTCTGTGTAGTGAAATGTCCCAACTATGAGTATTTTTCTAACCATACCGTACCAAACCAAACCAAATCGAATTGTGGAATAGGAGTCCTACCAATAACCAATCAAGTTTAATAAATGAAAACCCTCCGTTTCAAGTTATAAACAAATGAACCAAAACCGAAACCAAAACCAAAACCAAAACCTAAAATGCTTAAATCAACTAATCTAATCGTTAGAGAAACATATCCCATTTAAAGGCATATACTCGTACCATTTATAGGAGTAGAGGACGAATTTATCGAGAGCAACTGAGATCCGAGTTGAGAATAGCCAAAGCTGCCATTTGTTTGTCCCCCCTAAATCCCAGTTTTATACTGATAAACGAAAAACGATATCAAGCAAAGTAATTCAAGCATATCCCGAAATAGTCTTCATCATCCAGTGGTTGTCTATGGTAGATTTAAAACTTAAAACACATGAATCCGAATATCCGAGGATATCGGAGACGACGCCAAACAATCAACGAAGAATTATGAATTAAATATTATACACTTGTCAAAGGAATATTGTGAGCTATATTAGCCGCTTATTTATCGTAAGTACACACCGTATATTAGTCTCTTATTCTAAGCAGATCCACTTAGCTAAATTGTGTCCAATTGTAAAGGCCTCAAGAGCGAGCACAGCACTTTGTATGGTATCTCAGCCTAAAGCCCTTAGTTTAAATAACGAAATATCACACATCACACACATCAGACAAAGGCGGTCGCAGGGCCCCGAGCTTGGCAACTAATCGTTTGTGTTGGAATAGAAGCTTGGAAATTAATTTAGTGGTAGCAGGCATGACTCAATCGTACCTATCTTTTGATACCGTTTATTACAAAACTAAGGACTATAATCGTATTTAAATTGTATACCTAAATCGAGTGCAGCGAGACCAAAACGCACTCAACATAATGATGAACTTTTGAAGTCAAAATCAAAGTCGAAGAAGGGGAAGTCTATATAACGATATCGTACACATTTCAATCTGTTCTACGAATGGTAGCTCATAGAACCTATTCAGAATACCACAAAGCATAAATATACAAATGGAAATTTGCATTGAACTAAACATATTTATATCATACGGCGACATACTCGAAACGTTTATATACAACTAACACGCATACATACATATATTTATACATAATCAGATAAATTATACATATGGAGATATGCCACATACGATATCATATAACATATACATATATGAAACATTGCGAAAAAGTTGATACAATAAATAAAACACATCAATTGCGTTAATTTGGTGTTATTTTTCTGGTCCTTAGAAGGTTTGAAGCCCTGTAAATAATTAACAAAACGCTCTCTCCTTCTGGTTTCTTATTTTATTTTTCTAGAGTCTAAACTAACCATTCAACAACATACACTTTAGATATGTACATAGGCTAGGCGTATCCTTAAATCAATCTACACATCGGATCGGCATCAAATCCCTCGAAGAACACAGCAAAAGAGATTGAGTTTGGCACAGAGTAAGCCGGAGATTCAGTTGTGGGTCAGTGTGTAAGCTGCGTGCGATAGGTGAATGGATGGATGTATGAAAGTCGAATCAAGTCAGATCAGATCGTTGCGAAAACATTGTTCCCTCAGTGGTGGTAATAGGCGTGCGGATCGACAGGTACAGGTGCAGGTGCAGGTGCTGGAGCCGGTCCCGGAGCCGGATAGTGAGCATAGGCGCTGTGTGCCAAGGCAGGATAGGCGGCATGGAAATGGGCAGAAGGTAAAACAGGAGCAGCCACAGGCACGGGAATAGGAGCTGGTGCAGGAGCAGGAGCAGGAGCTGCCCGGTGGAGAGCACTCAAGGCCAGAGGATAGGAAAGCAGGGGAGCCTTGGGCACTGGCGGCAATGGTGGTGCCGGAGCCGGGCCAGGCAAGTGATGATAAGCCGGTGCTGGTGCCGGTGCAGGGGCCAAAACTGGAGCCAGATGAGCTGGAGCCTTGTAGGCCAGCGGTTCCTTACGCACCACTGCATTGAAACCATGATGGGGATCCGCTGTATAGTCAACGGTGCGCTTGGTGCCATCAGGATCTACCACAGAGTAGCTGCCCTTCACCACATCCCCATGTCGCGTCTCATGCTGCGACTTTAGATCCCCTGTGTAACCATCCTGAATGTCATATCCAAAGGAGTACTTTGGATCGGGATCATAGGGTTCGGGAGCAGCTGGCTTGGGCGCCACATAGGGAGCGGGATAGGGGCCATGGGGCGGGGCATATCCTCCATAAGAGTGCAGCGGTCCTGGTCCAGCTGGTCCTCCATAATATGGTCCGGGTCCAATCACACCTGCATAGGCGATGCCAAGCAAGGCGCTCAGCAGGAAAAACTAAACAATATGGAATGGAGTGTTATTTAATTTATATTAAAATATATTCAAGTTAATTAATTCTTTAAATTTCAAGTTAAAATTTTGGACTAAGCTGAAGTTAAGCTAATTTTAATCGGTGTTATAATTTCCCAGAATAAGCAGATATAGTCTTAGGATGACTGATGTTAAATAATTAATTATATCTTAAAATATATATCCCTAATCCTCAATTGAAGGGGTTTCTTAAATCGAAATTGTATTACTTTTATTAGTTAAGAGGCTTCTAGATATTAAGGGGTATTACAATTTTAGTCAGAAGATTATAAAGCAGTGAAGGAGTTATTTCCGACCCTATAAAGTATATATATTCCTGATCAGCATCAACAGCAGAGTCGATCTAGCCAAAACTTCAAAAATTATTTCAAAATTTTATAAGGGGTTACATCATTGAAATTGTCAAAAATGGTCAAACATTTTGATTGCTCTAATTTTTAAATTTTGTATGCAGATTTATTAACCTAATAAAAACTAACAAAAGAATCCTTTCCGAATTGAATTTAATGCTTTTATGGCTTAGTTATGATATGTTAAAATGTTGATTTGTCAAAAAATTTGTCAAATAAATATATCAATAACTATTGATGTAAAGAATCCAAGTACTTTAAGCTTAGTTATAATCGATTTCCGATTCTTTTCTTCTTATTTATTCACACCTTCAGCATAACGTTGTCCTTTTTGCACGATATCCTTTTGCCACTCGCTCACAGTTGTCACAGGCTCAGCTCACACAACTCACACACCACCTCAGAGAGTGGTTGTTGAGAGTAGCTTTGAAATTCGACGACGATCGCGCTGGAAGGAGTAACCCAAACTGTAGGCCCTGGCCGCGGGTTCTGGCCATTTATACTGCCAACCGGCGCCAAATGTCGCCTGCTTCACATGGCGCAGCAGCCGAGGTAAAATACACTAATTCGAGATCAAGCGAGAGAGACCCGGCAGAGTTTCGGTTTCGGTTTAGCCAGCGATCATGCACATGGCGCTGGCGTTTGCAGAGGAGTTGCTGTTGGTTAACTAAACTGGCTAGAAGGGGAAGAGGGGTCCGGGTCCCGGTGGCCTCTTGCCCACCTGGCGGCAAAATCGTGTGCCTGTGCCTCAACTTTGGCGCAGTTATCGTGTCGACTTAGAAAGGTTATTCTTCCGCTAAACCACTTAAAGGGACCCCAGAGTCAGAGCCGGTCGGAGCGGTGCCCTTTCACTTTTGTTGCTTCGATTCAGCGACGGACAGCGCGACTTTTTTGGCAATTATGTGAGAATTTATTTGGCCGCACACAATTGAAATGTTAAATTAACATCGACTGGTGTAGGACCTGCTGCTGCTCCCCGCGTAATTAGCCGAACAGAACACAGCCAGCTTCGATCGGTTGGATCGATTCCATATGAAATGGCAATTGCTGTGCATACGCAAAAGGTCAATCGTTCTGCAATTGAATTAAGAGTGCCTGGAGCTGTCCCACAGCCAGAGGGGTCTCAGTGGAGTTTGGGGGAGGCTTTAGCAGCCTAATAAAGCCGAAAGGTCAACGCGCCAATGGCCCACAGATCGAGCCAAAATAACCACTTGCAGTCTAGGCAAATAATGTCATTAATAATACCCTTCAAAGGGGTGTGTAGTGTCAATAGAGATTCACTTGAAAGAGACATTTCAGACTGTCTGAAAATATAATAAATTACACACAAATTGCTAGGCATTAGATACCAATTCATCTTATCTATAACCTTTATTTTTAATATTTACAAGGAAGAGTATTAATAACTTAACAGAGCACTTTACTCTTCGTGATTCATTCAAATTGAATTCACTTTCAATTATCCAACTTCTCACATTGCCAAGTGTCTGCGACAATTCTTCTGTTTACCGTTTTATGCGCTTAATTTATAGCCACAAATTTGTATCTGGCATCTGGAGAACTATTGACAGCTGCATGCATTGTTCCGCCGCGGTTGTTGTTACTGGCCAACAAAGTAAGTATAACACAGAGAATCAAAGTCGTGCCAGTTGATGTCGATGCCATATGTTTTAACTATTTTTAGCCTGAAGATCAAAGCAATTGATCAACACGAATGTCAGGCTAATGCAATATTGTCGTTAAGAAGGTTAAGTAGAAAACCCAGACACTAATTGCAGAGCCCTACCAATCATTGGCGATGGACGTGACATCTCTGGAGTCCGATTGGAAAGCAGTGGGAAATTTATCTTAACTTACCCAGAAGTCCATCTGTTTTTGGTGGACAAAACAATTGGTATTTAGTATTTGTACCATTGTGGCTTCATAGCTTTCGGTCAGTTCGCTTAGAGATTTGGAAGGTCTCAGTCGCTGGAATTGTTTCTAGTCAAGGATGGATTTTAGCCAGATTCTGGATAGGTGCGGCAACTATGGAAGGTTCCAAATAGTGCTCCTTCTCCTGTACGGCTACACGAATATTCTGGGATCGCTGCATTACTTCTCCCAGACCCTCATCACCTTCACCCCGAGCATTGGTAGGACTCTCATCTGCTTAGTGAAGGAAGAATCCTAACAGGATATTCATCTATCACGTCTCCTTCAGGTGCTCCCATGTTGATCTCGTGGGACTCAGCATGAAGGAGCTGCAAAGGGCTTACTCAAACATATCCTACCCATCCTGCACTCTCCTTCGGGGCGTCATCAATGGCACGGGCGTGGTCGCAGAGGGTGGCGAGTGCAAGGACTGGATTTTCAGGCGAGAAAGTGGCTACGAGAGTATCACCACTGAGGTAGGCATTACAACACAGTCCCTTTTTTGTAGTAAATACTAATAATTACTTATAATCAGCTCAAGTGGGTTTGTGGCAAATCCCACCACTCGGCGGTGGGTCAGTCCTTCTTCTTCATGGGCTCTGTGATGGGCACCACAATCTTTGGTTACCTCTCGGATCGTATTGGTCGCCTGCCATCCCTGCTGATGGCCACTTTGTGTGGTGCCACCGGGGATTTTGCCACCTCATTTGTGTACACTTTACCCGGATTTGCCGTAGCCAGATTTGTGTCTGGTTTGTCTACGGATACTATGTACTATCTCATGTACATTCTGGGTAAGTACCAGTCTAATAAGGATACAAATATCCCTCTTCAAGGATGCTAAAGATTATATTATTTATATTTATCTGTTTAACGTTTTCAGTATTTGAGTACTTGAGCCCCAAAAGCCGTACCTTCGGTCTGAACATCATCCTGGCAGTTTTCTACTGTTTCGGCCTGGTCACCTCACCCTGGGCCGCCATCTGGATAGGTAACTGGCGTCGCTACCTCTGGTTGGCCTCACTTCCTGCCCTGGGAGTACTTATCTATCCGTTGCTGATCTGTGAGAGCGCTCAGTGGTTGCTGACCAAGAGGAAATACGACGAGGCGGTGGCATGTCTGAAGCGAGTGGCTAAGTTCAATGGCCGCAAGGTGGAGGACTCCGTATTCGAAGAGTTCGTCAAGCACTATCACCTAAGGGCGGAAGAGGAGCAGGGTGTCACCATTCAGGATGACACTTTCTTTGCAATGTTCCTGACACCTCGCCTGCGACGATTTACACTAACTTTGTTGCTTAAATCGTGAGTGTCCTTTTTTACTTTATACCTATATATTATATTCTATGGTACCTCCTTCTGCTTCCTTTTTTATCCAGCGTCATCATAACCCTCTCGTGCGATGTAATCAACCGAAATATGGAGGGATTGGGCAGCTCGCCCTTCAAGCTCTTCTCTTTCACGTCGATTGTTTATCTACCCGCCGGAGTGGCCATCCTCCTGCTCCAGAACAAGATCGGGCGCAAGGGTATGGCCTGTGGAGCCCTCTTTGTGGGTGCCATTATCACCGCAGTGACTGGGTACCTTATAGCCAACTTAAATCCCATGGACAATGCTTTACTACTGGCCATAATGGTGGGTTTGGGCCGATTCGGAGCCACTGTCTCCTACGATGCAGAGATCCAGTACGCGGCAGAGATCATTCCGACGAGCGTGCGGGGACAGGCGGTGTCCAACATCCATGTGGTTGGTCTGGCCTCCAGCTCGCTGGCCTTCTATGTGATCTACTTGGCCCAATACTATAAGCCGCTGCCCTCGATCTTTATCAGCTGCTTGATGTTCTTTGGCGCTGGTTTGTGTCTTACATTGCCGGAGACCTTGAACAAGTGCGTTGCAATTGAAGGATTTCCTTCGGTCTACTTAACTATGCTTTTTTACTTTCCAGGAAGTTGCCGGAGACCCTGGCTGAAGGTGAGAAGTTCGCTCAGGACGAGAGCTTCCTGTACTTTCCGTGCTTTCGCAAAAAACGAGAAACAACCAAGTTGGAAAGTGTCTAAGGAAAGACTACAGACTTTGGGGGATTTATTTGTTTAAGCTCATTGTACATTGGTCATTGCTTGTCATCTAATAAAATATCCGATCGAAGACTGATTACACCTATTTCCGAAAGTATATGTTGTGATTTTTGATCTTTTTATGGCAATTGTTCATTAAAGTCACTAAGAATCAGGCAAAAACAAGGCTTCAATTTTGACATTTTCAGAAAAAATCATAAATTTCTGGATTTATGGAGAACAAAATGAAGAAGACTGTCGGAAAACTTGTATGCATTTTTTTAAATTTTATAAATGAATCATAATAACTACATACTTAGATTTCCAATGATTGACAATTACAATCTACTGCCAGATTTGACGTCACTCATGAAATCGTCGTAATAATAACTGTAAATAAATAGCTTTGCATGTTGGCAATCACAGAGCCGAAAAATCTATATTTATCTCCTCGTCGCTGCAGTTCGACCCCAACAAAGGCCTATAATTTTTTTTATTTCATCGTCACAATTATTTTCCTACTTGCCTAACGAAATTGTGTACCTTAGAGAGTATTCAAATATAATAATATTAATTATCCAAAAAATAATGTTCCCTATAACAAAGGGATAGAACAACATTTAAAATGAGGCATAGGAACAAGAGTATTTCAAGCCAAATTAATAGAACAGTAATGAGTATGCCTGAGTGCATACAGTCTCCGTGTTATTCGTATCATTCATGTATTGTGCAATTTCGTTTTCGCAAAAAAATACGACTGCAGGCAAGTCGAAAGCCTCACATCAAACTTTACTTTCGTTCCGTGCGGTTGACATTGCAATTTCACTCGCAAATCGCGATTTGTCGGTCAGTGACTATACATATTTAATCTGTGGCAATTCGTTAATTATGTTTCTTATCGAGAATTTCTACATTGTTTTTAACAAAAAGATGTGCACCCTGGATCTCTGAGCTAGTCCATCTAAAAAGCTGGCAGGTGTGAGTTGTACAAGGAATAATTGAGACTTCGAGGTGCAACTAAGCACCTCTATAAGAACCTTGAAGAACCTTAATGCTTTGATTTCCTTAACTAATTGATAAAACACTCCGCTACTTCAATAGTTATAACCAAAATGTTTTTTTGGTACTATAATATCCAACAAGGCTCAAAGTCCGTGGCAGATTAAAAAGTAAAACAGTAAACAACATTTTGAGAGCATATGACGAAACGCCACAGCTGTCAAACATAATCTACGCGAATTATTTCTGATCTCGGTCTGGCAAGATTTGTCGAGCTCTCTAATTGGTTTTGCAAATTAAGCAAACGAAATTCAACGCGTGCAATTAAGTGAGTCGCAAATGCAGCGGGGAAGATGATAACACGGTTTCTGGCTCTCCTCGGCGATCGGAGAGCAGTGTGACTGGAAGTGCATTAAAAACATCATGCTGGAGGTGGACAAGATCCTGGAGAAGTGCGGCGACTGCAGCCGGCTTCAGTTGTGGATGCTGTTGCTCTTCTGCCTGGTCAATGTGCTATCTGCCCTTCACTATTACTCCCAAACAATCATCAGCTTTGTGCCCACTTACTGGTGCGTATTGCGTGTGTGTCCCCCATGTCGCATACTTAATATACATTACTCATACGCCCAGGTGTGCTGACAACTTGCCCGCCAACTTTAAACCGCCGGAGACGTCTAGCTGTCTGCCATTGGGACAGAATAGCTCTAGCTCGTGCCACAGCTACGACTATGAGTTGTATATGAATTACCAAAGCTTAACCAGCGAGTTGAACTGGATATGTGGAGATGCCTGGAAGCTCACCCTTGGCCAGTCGATGTTCTTTGTGGGCTCTGTGGTTGGGTCTATGGTGCTCGGTTACCTGGCCGATCTTGTGGGGCGTCTACCCATCTTGATTGTGGCCAACCTGATAGCCCTGACTGGTAACCTCCTGACCATTTGGGGCACAAATCTGACGCTTTTCTGTACCTTTCGATTGATCTCGGGCATTGCCACGGATAGCAACTTTGTGATGATGTACATTCTGGGTGGGTTTTATTAGCTTAAAAATCAAATCACATATTTATTTCTCCCTTGCTTAGTTATGGAGTACATGCGTCCATCTCTACGTACCCTTGGCCTAAGCATTTGCATTGGATTCTTCTACTGCTTGGGCTCTATGGCGGCACCTTGGATAGCCGTGCTCATGGGCAGTTGGCGGGAATTCCTGCTGGTCACCTCGCTGCCCTTGCTGGTGGTGCCACTATTCTACTTGATAGTTCCTGAAAGCATTCAGTGGCTGATCTCCAAGCAAAAGTACGATCAGGCAGTGATCTGCTTGAAGCGTGTGGCCCGGATCAATGGGCGTCATGTGGAGGAGAGCTTCTATGAGGAGTTTGTGGAGGAGTGCAAGTTCAGTCAACAGAATCAGAAGGCCTCGCCTCACCTGCTGCACCTGTTCAAGACACCTCGCCTGCGCCGCAACACCTTCATTCTCTTCTTCAAGTCGTGAGTACTCTTCGCGGAATATGGTTCCCCTAATTCCCCCGATCCACCCACACGAGCAGCATGGTCATCACCCTCTGCTACGACGCAGTCTCTCGGAACGTCCAGGGCCTTGGCATTTCTCCGTTCATTATGTTCTCGCTGAGTGCCACCGCCATTCTGCCAGCCTGCCTGCTCATCATCGCTCTCCAAGATCGTATCGGACGGAAGGCAATGGCCTCTGCCTCGCTGCTGCTGAGTGGCATTTTCATCTCGGTCACCGGGGGCATCCTCTATGCAGCCTCCGCCTCCGACAGAAGTGAGTTGAACTCGATCAATCTGGTTGCGGTTTTAAATGTGCAATAATTCTCTAGCTTAAGATTGAAGTTAATTTAAAGAAAGAAAGGAAACTAATTTCGAAAAGCCGAAATTGCATACCCTTACAGTTTGCAATTGAATTATAGAATCGAAGCGGTTATAGTTCATAACCAAGCTTCAGATATTCACATTCTTTGAATCAATACTTGTAGATATTTTAAGATGACAAATTTTTCCAAAAATCTAACTTTAAAAAACTCATAGCTAAGCCAAAAATGAATTAATTTCAATTCGGAAAGCTTTCCTATGTTAGTTTTTAGAAGGTTAATAAATCTGCAATTAAAAAAAATTCAATTTTTTGCCAATTTTTGACAATTTTAATGATGTAACCCCTTATACAATTTTGAATTTTTGGGAAAATTATGAAAATTTATTTTTTGACCAAACATGGCTAGATCGTCTCGGCTGTTGATGCTGATGAAAAATATATATAATTTATAGGGTCGGAAGTGATTCCTTCACTGCTTTTCATGCTATATAATCCTGATATAATAGCCTGCTAGGGTATCCATAATGACTTTGTTTTAAAGGAAAAAATGTCATCAAGAGTCTAAAAATTGTATATTGTCTATTGTTATATATATAATTATTATTACTATTAATCAAAAATCAAACTTCTCCCTGTTTTGCAGCCACAACCCTGCTGGTTAGCCTTTCAGTGATCGGTCGCTTTGGGGTAACAGTGGCCTACAACTCAGGTGCCCAGTATGCCACCGAGCTGATACCCACCTGTGTGCGTGGCCAAGGTGTGGCCGCTGTCCATGTGGCTGGCTATGCTTTTACCTTCTTCAGCGCTTTTATCCTGTACACGCGGAGCATCTTCTCACCGCTACCGGAGATTATCCTGGGCCTCCTATCGCTCCTTGGGGCCTGCCTGTGCCTCCTGCTGCCCGAGACGCTCAATCGGACGCTGCCCACATCGCTGGAGGATGGCGAGGACTTTGGCAAGAACGATCGATGGTACACCTTCAGTTTCCTGGACAAGCGTAGCCCATCCGCCACCACGCTGGACACCCAAAGTGCCAAGATGCACTCACAGTCCACAGATTCGTCTGTCTACTTTTGAATATATTTCTTCTGTAGCTTTGACCTAATGCTTTATAAGATGGGAAGGGGTTATTAATAACCTAGAATATATACAAATAAATGCAAATAGAATAAAATACACCTATAATCAAATCGCCCAAGAAGCTTTTTCTCTAAAAAACAAAGAACAAAGAAAGTCACTCGCCGATCGAGAATATACACTTATCCTTTAAGGATCTTAACTAACTTTACAAGTTATTTTAAATTTAAAAAATGGCCTGCAGAGACCTTTTTTGAAATGCGTACCGCCATTATGAAATTCGAACTGAATTATATCTACGGAAAATTCTAACAAAGTGCCTACAACCTTAAGTCCCTGTAATATAGACGCGCCATTGTTTGGTTAGACTTACCTGTATCTATTTGCCAGACAGCTTCACTTTATCCACTTCCATAAAGATAGGACAGGTAAACTTATGCTCGGTGGGCGTCATTATTAGGTATATACAGATCCGATCCCAAACTCTCCCCACACGCCAACAGTAGCCAGACGTCGGAAATGGTTCAAACGCTTTCTTCGGGAGATAAAACTAGCAGAAGATATTCACTGTTTGCAGTGTATTACCGCAATATAGAGCCATATAGTGAGCACTCGGATTCGGATTCGGATTTGTACTCGGATTCCGATCCAGATTCGGGTATATACCCACCTGTTCGCACCGCTTCGCCGGCATCAGTCGTTCACTCGCGATCGCAGCAGTCTCGTGTGGCGAACAAAAAACAAAATAAGGAAAAACATGGATCTCCAGAGTGTCCTGGAGAAGTGCGGCAACTTTGGCCCCTACCAGATACTGCTCCTGGGTCTCTTCGGATACACAAATATAGTGTCCTCCTTTCACTATTTCTCGCAGACCCTCATCAGTTTTACACCCGCACACAGGTTTGAACGATATTACGAAATTTGTTGCCATTTGGGCTATAAAAATTGAAAAAAACAAGTGGCACAGCGTTGTAAAAATTTGTTGCCAAACAATAACAATTAAAACAATGGAATAGAAATATTAGAAACCACAAAATGGAAATGAATAAAAAGCTTTGTGCTCTAATAATAACATTTTCTTTAATAAAGAAGAGTTTCTTTAATAATGTTTCCACTTATAACAAAGATTAATTAAGTTATCCCCTCTAAATTCAATAAAATCCTTTGAAAGAAATCTCTTAATCATTAACCAACTTATTATCCCTTGTTTTTAGATGTTCTGCACCCTTTAAGGATCTGCCTGGCAACGTCACCCTCTTGGAGGTTGGCTCCTGCAGTGTTCGGCAATTCGACGATGACATGGTTTCCTATGGCGACATCAAGTGCCACTCATGGGAATTTGACAGGGAAAGCAACTATGAGAGCATCACCACCGAGGTAAGTGCTTTCAGCCTAAAAGTAGGAGACATTTCTCGAGACTAAACACTGTCGTCTGTTTCTATTGATTACAGCTGGGTTGGGTGTGCGATGATGCCTACAAACTGGCTGTGGGTCAGTCCTTCTTCTTCATTGGCTCTGCCCTGGGCAGTATTTTCTTTGGCTATTTGGCTGATCGCATTGGTCGGTTGCCAGCCTGTGTCCTGACCACCTTAACCGGAGCCTCTGGTGACTTCTTCACATCCTTTGTGAGCAGCCTGCCCTGGTTCTCGTTCACGCGCTTCATCTCTGGTCTCTCCATGGACACACAGTATGTCCTTATGTACATTCTGGGTAAGAGGAGTCATCACGAGGCTTGAAAGATATTAGAAGTAATATTGTTTATTTCAGTCTTCGAGTACTTGAGCCCAAAGCACCGAACCTTCGGTCTGAACATCATTCTGGGCGTCTTCTACTGCATCGGTCTGGTGATCTCGCCCTGGATGGCCATCTGGCTGGGCAACTGGCGCAGTTACCTGTGGGCAGCCTCTCTACCAGCATTGGGAATGCTGATCTATCCTTTGTGCCTCCACGAGAGTGCCGAGTGGCTACTCACCAAGGGGAAGTTCGACAAGGCTGTTAGCAGTCTTAGGAGCATTGCCAAGTTCAATGGGCGGCACGTGGAGGACTCCGTTTTCGATGAGTTCATTAAGCATTATCGCGAGAAGCTCAACGCCGCACAAAAGACATCCTCAGATACATTCATTGGGATGCTGAGGACTCCAAGACTGAGAAAGTTTACCATTATTCTGCTAATCAAATCGTAAGTTGAAGCGTTGGTAATAGTTTCGTATAAGCTCTAAAACTCTTTCAAATCTTCGTAGAATGATCATCACCATAGCCTTTGATATCCTGAGCCGCAATGTGGAGGGCGTGGGCATCTCGCCCTTCAAACTCTTCTCTTACTCGGGACTCTGCTATTTGCCCGCTGGCTTAACCATCATTCTGTTCCAAAACAAAATCGGACGCAAGGGCATGGCCTGTGCCTCGCTCTTTGTGGGTGCCATCATCACAGCGGCCACTGGTTACCTGGTTGCCATTCTTGATCCAGCGGACTACTCCATACTCTTGGGCTTCATGGTTAGCCTGGGCAGATTTGGGGGAACTGTGGCCTACGACGCAGAGGCCCAGTATGCGGCGGAGATTATTCCGACCAGCGTGCGAGGACGCGGAGTTGCCAACATCCATGTGGTGGGCAATGCCTTCGCCTTCTTCAGCTCGTACATCATCTTTCTGGGCACCTTCTTTAAGCCCCTGCCCTCGCTGATCATCAGTTTCCTTCTCTTAATCGGGGCGGCCCTGTGTCTTACTCTTCCCGAAACACTCAACAAGTGAGTATTTGAATTGGATGTTTCCCTTTCTGTTTCTCCTATATAAAACTATATTTTCCTTTCACAGGAAACTGCCACAGACTTTGGAGGAGGGCGAGGCGTTCGCCAAGGGCGAAAAGTGGTACTATTTTCCCTGCTTCTCGCGCAGACAGCAGACAGACAAATCCTCATCTCAGTTGGAGTCAGCCAACGAAATTACAAAGTAGCCATAGTAAATGTATAAAAACACACAATAAAAACAAATTAAAAATCACAAATAAACAATAAGATAAATGTATACACGGGACTTTTTATGAGGGGCAATCAAAGTAATTAGTTAATGACTTAATTCCTGAAGGGTATCGGGTTATGAAGGAGGTGCTTCTGTACCCGTACCCGATTTCACCACATCCGGAACGCATTTACCGAGTGCACATGTATCGTAAACCCCAGGCTCAGACATCTATTACGCTTGTTTAGGGTCCATTGGCTTGTTCAAACTACCCAGGAGCCTGTTTACGGCTTGATTTATGCGGATCACGCCGGCGGTTCCGGAACTTTTACTACACGCCAAGAGAGAGATTAGAGAATTCTTATTGCATTTCGAGAGGCTTCGGCTGGCGCCTCAGCGAGGCAGACCTGTAATCTATACTATATATAATCTATATCTCTAAACGGGAACTCCCATTAAAATGTCAGGCGCCAAACAAAGAGTTCTTAGATCCGGCTAATCCCAAAGTAAGTACACACCGTTTCAGGCGTGACTTACAGCACAACAGCGGCGGCGGCTTATTCTATAATAAATCTAAGACAAAGTCAACAAGCCGAAATTTTTCGAGAAAGTCCGTCACTCGGGCAGTTGACCAAGTTAAATGCCTGATAAGCGAGCAGCTGCAAAAGACGCAATTCCTCTAAGCCCTGTTCATAAGGGCTTTTCTTAGTCAAGGTCACGGTTGAAATGAATTATTAAAAAGTAATGCCACAAGGAGCAAAGCTAAGACATCTTAACTTTATGTACTTTTCGATTTCACTTGAGTTAAGCAAACAAATCCTGTGTGTAGGGTTCTTCGCTCACCTGTTCGACTGAATGTTTGCTCGGGTCTCAACACCTTATCATTGGCACACACCCCAAAAAATAAACGTGGGAGATACTCGGAGATAGCCTGGTCCAATCTCTGTTACTAATTACCCATCCTAATCAGAGGCAACGCCTATATCGTTGTACTATACTATATAAGGCAGTCGTCGGTCCAAGCCAAGCGTCAAAATACTGCGCGCACAGACAGAATGTAGCTGCTTTCTTCCCTTAGAGGTCTCAGCGCATAAACAAAAGTATATTCTTTCTATATAGTAGATATATCAAGTGATCTAGTTAGATTCTATTAAGATCGATATGGATTTCGATCGTGTACTGGAGAAGTGCGGAAACTTTGGCCGCTTTCAGTTTGTCCTGCTCATTCTGTACGGCTACACAAACATACTCAGTTCGCTGCACTACTTTTCCCAGACTCTGATTACCTTTACGCCAGAGCATTGGTAAGTCAAGTCACTTTATTAATTAAATAAATGCACAAGATTTGTTTTACATCTTTTTGGAAATCTTTATATTCCAATTATAGGTGCTCCCATGACGATTTGATGGGCTTAAGTGCCTCTGAGCTCCGCTCCATTTACTCCAATGTTTCCCATTCCTCCTGCACTCTACTCTCGGAGGTGATCAATGGCACTGGGGTGGCCGCCCAGGAGGCCTGTGAGGACTGGATCTTTGAGCGGGAGAATGGCTACGAGAGTCTGACCACCGAATTGAAGTGGGTTTGCGACAAATCCCACCAGCCAGCGGTGGGTCAATCCTTTTTCTTCCTGGGCTCTGTGGTGGGCACCATTACCTTTGGCTTTCTGTCGGATCACATTGGCAGGCTGCCAGCCATGCTAATGGCGGCTATTTCCGGAGCAACTGGTGACTTCATCACCTCCTTTGTGCACACTCTGCCCTGGTTTGCCTTCTCCAGATTTGTGTCTGGATTGTCCACGGATACCATGTACTATCTGATGTACATTTTGGGTGAGTTGACATCTGGAGATCTTTGTTGTTTTCTTGGATTATATATTTAAACTTACTTTATTTACTTGTTAGTCTTCGAGTACCTGAGCCCCAAGCGCCGCACCTTTGGCCTGAACATCATCCTGGCAGTGTTCTACTGCTTTGGCCTGATGACCTCACCCTGGATCGCCATGTGGATTGGCAACTGGCGACGTTACCTCTGGTTGGCCTCGCTTCCTGCCCTGGGAGTGCTCATCTATCCGTTGCTGATCTGCGAAAGTGCCCAGTGGCTGCTGACCAAGAAGAAGTATGACGAGGCGGTGGCTTGCCTGAAGCGAGTGGCCAAATTCAATGGTCGCCAGGTGGAGGACTCCGTGTTTGATGAGTTCGTGAAGCACTATCGCGAAAAGATGAACGAGGAGAGCAAGCTGAACAAGCAGATGGACACCTTCCTGGGAATGTTCAAGACACCCAGGCTACGTCGCTTTACTACCACTCTGCTGGTTAAATCGTGAGTTCTATATATATGATTTATCATATATTGATCTAACCAAGTCCATTTCCATCTCCAGGGTCATCATAACGCTGTCCTACGATGTAATCAATCGGAATATGGAGGGCCTGGGCTCTTCCCCCTTCAAGCTCTTCTCGCTTACCTCCAGTGTTTATCTGCCGGCGGGTTTTACAATTCTCCTCCTCCAGAACAAGATTGGACGCAAGGGCATGGCCTGCGGAGCCCTGTTGGTGGGTGCCATTATCACAGCCGTCACTGGATTCCTGATTGCCTTCCTGGATCCCAACGAGAACGCTGTCCTTCTGGCCTGTATGGTTGCTCTGGGTCGCTTTGGATCTACCGTCTCTTATGATGCGGAGATCCAATATGCGGCGGAGATCATCCCAACGAGTGTGCGAGGACAGGCTGTGTCCAATATTCATGTGGTGGGTCTGGCCTCCAGCTCAATGGCCTTCTATGTGATCTATTTGGCCCAATACTTTAAGCCCCTGCCATCGATCTTCATCAGCTGCCTGATGTTCTTGGGCGCTCTGCTCTGCCTGTCGCTCCCCGAAACTCTGCACAAGTGAGTGGAAATTGCTTTAAATTAACTGGAATTTTTTAAAATTAAATTATGTGATTTAGAAAACTACCGGAGACCCTGGCCGATGGTGAACGCTTTGCCATGAACGAGAGCTGCCTGTATTTCCCATGCTTACACAAACGCCGCGAAAGTCTGACCAAGCATGAGGACCTCAAGTCTGAACCCTAGAGAGTGATGCACCTGATATGCGACTACTGCTTAAATTACCTGCTAATTGCAAACAACCTGATGATGGGGCCACCTCAGGACCCCAGTAACCCAATGGTCTGATAGTTATTACTCATGTGAAGGATGCATAGTAATTAAACCAACACCGTTTTTTTGTATAATACACCTATATATAACCCTATATACATATTCAAAACAGAACTGGTATAATGATATATATGATGTAATCCATTCTTTCACAAATAAAATGTATACTTGTAACTTAACTACAAAGGCTGTATTAGCAGTTTAGAGACTTCTATATGATTCAGCTCAGAAGGTCAATGAACGCATGTAATTGACTAATTTTACATTGCGAAATTATAAAAATAAAGCTTTTCATTATTAATCATATAAAATCCAGCACGCTTATCTCATTAATTATTTTTTAAGTATCTAAACTTCGAATGAGGCATTGAATTATTATTCGTAGCTATCATTTACACCTGATTTAAGACTTGTGATTAATGATGTGTTTTCAAATTACAAATTGGATATATGAACGCAGCAAAAAAACTTGGAATTAAAGTTTTATAGTATAACCACTATAAACAATTAGCAAAATTGAATTAGTAATGTTAGCATCAATAAAATGATTGCAATACCTTTATCCAGGTTCAGCTTAGGTCCATCGTTGATTTTAAGGACATATAAGATAATCTCCAACACAATTATATAGATTTTGATTTGTATATTTAATATTTTGTTGTTTTCTAAATTTAATTAATTATTATCAGTTTTCTTAATGGTTCTCATTTTCTTAAAGATCGAAATCAAAAATAGAACATTCAGTTACTGGCCTAAGTAGTATATAGCACTTATGTACAGAATATATATATAGTGTATAGGATGTATGAAAAACTCTTATGTTAAGTATTCAATTGATTTAGTTAAGTGATTTTGTGCCGCTTAAGTGTTAACTATACGATTCCATCTTATACACAATCAGCGATTTGGAAAAAAACAATTATTTTCGACATAGTTAAATGTACAGATAAACCCTAGATCTTTATCAGCTAGAGTAGGTATACATATATAATTAAATATAAATTTATATAATCGGGTACACGTAAACACTATACAAATATGAAAAGGCTTTCGCATACTGAGCACATTTAAGGGCCTCCTGGTGCCCACTGCATCCTGGGGTTTGGTCCGGCATGGATCTTTTGGGGTCTTAAGGTCTAGGCAAAAATTGGTTAGCTAAACTAGGATCTAAAGATCTCCCCCCTCAGTGCTTGGCATCCTTCAGGGCCTGCTCCTCGCGATCGGCATCGATCAGGGACTGCTTGCGCTTTCCATTCGAGGAGGACTCCATCTGTTTGGCATCGATCAAGGAGTGCTTCCGCTTGTACTTCTCCAGCTCCGAGTCGGACTCCTCGTCGTCATGGCGTTTGTGCAGACAGGGGAAGTCAAACATGCGCTCGCCCTTGCCAAACACCTCACCCTCCTCGATGGTTGTGGGCAGGCTCCTGGATAATATAAAATACATATTAGTCAATTTATTCTTAACTTAACTTGATATAAAACTAACCTATTGAGCGTCTCTGGCAGCAGCAGGCACACAAAGGAACCAGCGAAGAAGAGCACTCCCAGGATAATAGAGGGTGCTGCCTTGAAGAAGGTGCCCAGCCAAAGGATATAGGGCGCTAGGAAGGATGCCGCAAAACCGGCCACATGAACAGCGGCCACTCCCTGGCCTCGCACACAGGTGGGAATCAGCTCGGTGGCATACTGCGATCCCGACTCATAGGAAATGGCCACTCCAAACCTGACAGCTATTGTGAGACAGGCCAGCAAGATGGCATTGTGGTTGTGCTGCTGATAAGCAATCGCAATGCCAGCGGCGGTGGTGAAGATTCCACCCACCAGCAATGAACCTGAGGCCATGCCCTTGCGTCCAATGCGATCCTGCAGCAGGACCAGCAGGATACTCGAAGGCAGTACGGCCAGGGCGCTTAGTGAGAACATAATGAAGGGTGAGATGCCCATGCCCTCCACATTTCGGGAGACGGCATCGTAGCAGAGAGTGATGACCATGCTGTGGAGACAAAAATCTTAGTAAATTCATTTTATAGACATTGATTAAGCAAAGGACTCACCTCTTAAAGAACAAAATGAGCGTGTTCTTGCGCATGCGCGGCGTCCTGAACATGTCCAGGAGTGTGGCATGCTTCTTGTCATCGCCACCCTGCATCTCTCGGGTCATCTGACAATGACGCCGGAACTCATCGAACTCCGCCTGCGTCACCCGACAACCATTGAACTTGGCCACCCGCTTCAGCCGCACAATGGCCCCATCAATGTCATTGCGCGTGACTAGCCACTGGGCGCTCTCCTGCACCACAAAGTAGTAGAGAACCACTAGAAGGATGGGCAACGAGGTGCAGGCCAGATAGATCTGCCAGTGCCCGGCCAGAACCGCCAGCCAGGGTGTGAACACAAGACCCAAGCAGTAGAACAAACCCACGGCCATGTTGAGGCCCAGGGTTCTCATACTAGGGCGAATATATTCAAGCACTAAATGGGGGATTTTAAAGGATTAATATGGATAATTAATTTAAATGAAATTAAACCCACCTATAATGTACATCAGATAGAAGTTGGTGTCGGCAGCAAGGCCTGAAATGAAGCGACACAGAGTAAAGGTGGCCACGCTCTTGGTGAATATGGTAGAGAAATCCCCGGCAAAGCCACAGAAGTTGGACAAGATGAGGGCAGGAACGCGTCCAATTTTATCGGAAAGCAGACCGTAGAAAAGGGTACCCACCACGGAACCAATAAAGAACAGACTCTGGCCAATACGCGCCTTGTACGCCGAGTCACAGACCCAGTTTAGCTGCAGAAATATATCATTAGTTTTAAGTATAAGAAATGAAGTATAATAGACCCACCTCTGTGTTCATGCTCCTGTAGCCAAAGTCATAGTTGTAGATCCAACGCTCGCAGGCCAAAGGGCTGACTGTGACATTGTGTCCATTGATGTCTTCCAGTCTTGTGCACGAAGGATTCTTGAACTGAGAATAGATCTCACCGATCTCCTTGTAGGTCATATTCACTAGCTTATCATGATAGCACCAATGATCTGGCACAAAACTAATGACTGTCTGCGTAAAGTAATGCTGCACAAGGGGAATTTCTTAGTATTTAAATTGAATATAAGTCAAATTATTAACTCACCATCGATACGATGATATTAATAAACCCAAAGAGGGCGAGTATCATGAACTGGTAGCGATTAAAGTCGCCACATTTGGCCAGAATCTGATCGAAATCCATGTTGAGGTGAGTGTTAGATTGGAACTAAGTGAGTTTATTTCTGTATTTTTGTACTATGTATGCTTGTGACGATGTTTTCCTCGAGCGTTGAAGAGGAGATGCGGCAAGGCCAATTGCCAAAGGAGTTCACATGTGTTTTGGTATCACAATTTATTGTTAATAGTCACATTTGCTGCTTTGGCTTAGTCTGCAAGAAAGAGTGTGTTTCATTAATTGAGGTCATTGTGCTTTTCTCAGCAAGCTAAATATTTAAATCTTTGTTCTATATATATATCTAGATAAGATTATTATGGTTTTGAGACGTATACTAAATAAATAACACGGCGACAAAGAGCTCATAATAAATATTTCTACAAACAATTCAAGTTGAGAAATACCACTTTCTTTGATTTGTTTACACATTAAATATTTAAAGTCTGCCAAAAGTTTATTTGCACACACTAAAAAGCGTACAAAAGGAATGGATAATGATCAAGTATTATTATGTTGATTGGTACTTTATTTATTTGTAGCTCATTGTGTCTAGCCACGTTCTGTCATCAATTTCCCTTCTAGTTTTTTTCTGCTAATTAGCTCAGATTTATTGTAATATTCAAATAAGTAGGTATATTTAGCATGTTGATGGGGAATTTAGCGAAAATATCAATTAGAAAATAACAACGAGGTAGACACATATTGGACAAAGATAAGCCCTCTGGCTACCGTAGACTAATCCGTAGACCGATGATAACCAACTGTGATCAGACTTTGGCCAAACATCGTTCGGTATGTTGAACGAGCTGGAAATTAAGGTTAACGGAGCGGTTACATCGGCTTATCACTGCTGGCAAAATATTTATATAGGCGTTCATTTAGATAAAACCCGAAAAAAGGGAAGGCTGGGGCACTGACTAATAGTTTCACTTTGCGGGCATGGAAACTGAGACTGCTGGCTGTTGTCAAGTACATCGATTCTCAATTGGAGCCCCCAGACACGTGTGGAGTGATGACGCTATAGACCTCGTAATTCTCGTCTAGATTTCTCGGAACGGTTTTTGTTTATTTCTAATGGAGTTTCAATGGACACTCGGCAACAGCGTGTCTGCCCTGGCAATTTGTGATTTACATCTTGGCGAAATAAATGAATAAATTGCGAAGAGCTTTGCGCATATTTCGGGTGACTGCAACTGGTTTCTAGTTTAGTTTTTCCACTCTCAAGAGGCGGGCAGTGTCCAAGAACCGAGCAACTTTTTCTTGTTAGTTTTGTATGAAATTGAAATGGATCCAAGGTTCCTGCTGATTATACATTATACACATATCTTGTCGGAGTGTTGCAAACCATTCAAGGCTGGGGCAAAACACATTTTAATTGATTTTACAATTAATAAACACCTTTTCGTATCTTGAATTTCGATTAATAATTCTAAAATTTTATTTACCTCTTACTCAGACCACTAATTTGTTTACGAAAGAAACAGCAAAGCAGAAAGTTAAATTTAAACAATTCTTGCAGCGTAGAAACAAGCGATTTTATTCTGCGACGCACCGCAAACAAACATATATATTATATGTGTATTCTTGTTTATGTATTTTTCCAAATACTTTTCTTGTTTTTCAAAGTTCAATGGCTCTGTCCGCACACGCCGTGGCCAATATAAAATGAAAACACTCAACGGAGAGCGATGTTCAAATTGTTTTGTCTACTTGGATAATCACGAAAATCGAAAAACAAATGCACACGCTTGACTTGAAATGAACACACAATTTTCTACCGATTTTAAAGCACAAACTTATTTTATTTAAATGTTTTTTAGTTTTTTGTTTTTGGTTCTTTGGCTTTAACGCTTGGCGGAACCGTTTAGGCCCGGTTGGGACGAGCTGGCCAGAGCTCGATTAGTTGCGATGTGTGTCCGACGAACGCTCCTCACAAACTGAGCTGCCAAATGCCGACGATTGTTTATTAAAAACGTCAAACAGCTGTTCCGCTGCTGCGCCGCGGAGCGCCAAAAAGGCAGCGACTGAGGCGGTAAATCGAATTCAACAGGGCAACAAAAACAAAAATAATAATAATAATAATAAGATGAGGAGCGAGGGGGGGAGTGCCAGAAACAGGTCATAATTAAATCCAAAACTGTGAAAAACAAACAATTTGCCTGGCCAGGCCAAGCTCGAGATTTGGTGATTTTCGTGAGGCTTTTACGAGCGACCACACGGCGTATACTTGATTGGATTCGATACGATTTCATTTGATTTACATCCTCATACACTCCACCCTTGTGATCGAATTGTGGCGCATGCAAGGGAAATAGCCTTGCTAATTATTTAAGCCAACGAATATTTTATTAACTCGCCCTATAAATAAGTTTAGTTTCATTTGGGCTTAGAGCTGTTAAGTCTATTCGCAGTGTAGTTCGGATTAAGCAATTTCCGCGAACAACTTTTTGATAATGCAATATGAAAGGGGGAAATTCTTGGCTGATTCATTCCATTACGATTATTCTGCTAATTATTCATCACAAACTTAACGTTTTGTTTGTGATTTTGTAATATGTACTAATTTATGGACTTTTTTGAGGTCGCTTTCTTTTTGTTATGCCTGTTTTATTGGGACTTCTATTTATTTTCTTCTTTAATATATATAATTTCTAAGCTAAGCATTTGTAATGTATGTATTAATAAGTAATTAAATCTTGTCATTGTTTATAGTATTATATTATATACTTTATTTTAAACTTAATTTAAGAAACGATTGTTCAAGTTTTAAAAGAAGTTTTCGTTTTTTCTTAAAATTTAGGCTTAAAATTCCATTCTTTTTAATGCTTTATAATCTTAATTGTTATTTTTTCAAGATCTCCACAAAGCTACTGACCTGCTACCCTTCTTAGCTTTTATTTGGGCATAAACTGAAATATGGCTGTATTAAAGATTAAATGCGGGTAGAGTTTCTCATTCGCCAAGAACAAATAAATAATGAAACTGTGTAGCTTATCATTAAATGGACAAGATATGATACCGAAAGTGAGTGTAAACTTTGCCTCAGCTTACCTAAAAACAAACCACAAAGATGTTAGAAATTTATAGACAGCATGATTAAGCCACATTGTTGTGTGCTCTTCCGCAATTAGTAGACGAAAATTTATAACACACTTGAGGAGCTGTCGTGATAGCTAACGCTCCGTAGTAAACCATAAATAAATATCAAGTTGTTGGCAACACAAATCAGAAATCAAAGCTCACGGCTAATGCCCTAATGTAATTAAAATCCAATCAAGTGGGTAAGGTGATTAGATAATGCCCAATTTCAGACTTCGTAGTCCTCAAGTAGCCGACTTCCAACATGTGCTAACTAGCTAGTGAGTAGCTGCCATAAAATTGGGGTGCGTAGACTAAAAACTCAATGCCATAACGCAGAAATCGGATTCGATCTTATCGCACTTTCCCCGAACAAGACACAACACGTGCTGGTTGCCGTTGCTTATTTGGCCAACTGTACCCCCCGACAGATGGATGATCTTTCCACTAGAGACACAGAAATACTTATTTATGGCTCTGACATTGCACTCTTCTTTGTCTGTATGTCTTGTGTGTAAACAAAGGAACAAAGACATTGTAGGGATGTCTTGGCCCTTTACAGACATTCAAATTCATAGAGGAGGAGACAACACACATTACTCATACGCCCTGTTATCCATGGTTCATATGGGGGATTTTCACCGAACTCAATGACTAAGCTGCATTTTTGTTTTCAGCAATCGCGCTTCTGATCCTCTGACACTCTCCAGCTAACTTTAACACATACTTGAAAAACAAATAATAAAAAAGGCATCAATAAATCCAACATCAAATCAAAGGCGCTAACAAATCGGTAGTGAGAATTACGACTACCACCTTTTGGGTCTGTATTAATTCGTTAGACTAATATTAACAACGCCTAGATTATGCTTATGCAAAGGTGTTAGCCTTAACGGAGTATATTTGCCTTTAAATACAGACTTTTTTATTATTATTTTGGACTTCGCAACAAAGCAAATATAGGGGAGGATCTTGGTGCCAAAAACAAAACTTATTCTGATCGATGTTCCACTTTTCACTTCGTTTTTATTATAAGCATAGATTTTATTAATGTCTATTTCATAACTTTTTTGAGGAAATATTTAAGAAACTGGACCTAATTTTATCTTTTCATTACATTTTCACTATTTACTTTTATATAGTTATAGATTTTTAATCAAACTTTGATTTTGGGTTTTCTTTCTTTATTATATTCACTATTTAGTTTCCTTCAAATATAGGTCCTTGAACCATTTGTTTTTTTGGTTTTTCTTGGATGATTTTTTTAGCACGCAAAATCTAAATTTCGCTTGTACCATAAACTGTTATTTGCGTATTTTATTTCCCTTTTTTTCACACTCACTTGCGAAATATTTCGAAAATGGATTTTATAATATTAGCCATCAGAGATTGAACTTACTAATTAAACAATTTGTTATAAATTTTACATTTCACGTCTCTGCTCCTGGCAAGTGCACGAATGAGTGGAAGTGGAAAAACTCATTCTCCTCAGTCGTTCTCTTGCTGAATTTTTCTCTCACTGTATCACTGCGCCTTCGATCAGCTGTTCGCGACTCGCTTTGCGATCTTTTGCTGCAGCTCGCGTGAACAATTGGATGCGTTTTGACATCAAGTTCAACGAATGTTGTCGGTTTTAAATGCTTTCGCGTGCCAGCAGCGCAAGCTGCATGCTGTAAATGTAACTGCAACTGTAAATGTAACTGTAAATGAGTAACGGATTCTTTACTCAACGGCTCGTTCAATAGCTCCTCTCTCAGCAGAAGGGAGGGAGTGCGTCTATCTCCCTCACTGGCATCCCCAAACTTACAAAGGGAGAAACTCAAAGGTTGAAAAGAACACAGTATTCAAATATTACTAAGTATATAAAATGTTATAAATATAAGTGAGCATCATAAAATGTTATAAATATAAGTGAGCATCAAGTAATATTATAAATCAAAAACAAATCAAATCTACATTTGTATCCATCTACAAAATATCGCCCCAGTATATTAATAATTTAAATAAGGAAATTTCAATCTCACTTTTGCTCAGTGTATAACTCCCTACCCTTTCCTCTTAGCATCGAATTTCCCTTCAATTGATCCGAATGTTTGCCTTTGTTTGCCGCTGATTAAGCTTTTATGACACAATTTCTTTTGTTTGGAGTGCAAGCAGCAATTATCATTCTATGAATATTCACATAGATAGATATAAAAAACTGATGGGATCAATTAAAACGCTTGGCAACAAACGCCTCGGCATCAAAGTGCTTTAATGGGTTAACAATAAGGGGAAAGAAAGCCAGATGGGATTTACTTGAATAAATATAAGAAAATAAAGATAATGCTTGCAATTATATCTTTATACTCCAAAATTACGCCGCAGAATCGGGTCTACATAGTTTTTAAATGAGTAATGCTATAATCTCGAGACGAAGCACATTTCTGAAGGCCAGATTAGATAGATGGGGGTGTAAGTGTTACACAAACAAACCGGAACCACATATGTAGTACGAAAATTCGAAAAACGTGTTCGAATTCGAAACCGAAAAAAGGGTAAATGAAAAGCCCGGGAGATTCGAATGATAACATGACTTCACACAGAGGGAGGAGCTCCCAAGAACAATTTATGATAATGATAAAGCTCACTTACTCTCTCCGGCAAACCCACTTTGCCTCTCTTCGAGTTGGCCATCCGATCCGGACTGGTTTGTGTCAGTTGTAACCAATTATGAGCAGGGGCTCAGTTCGAGCACTTTTCGTTACGATTCCGATTCGCATTCGCAACTCGTACAATGCGGCGTATGCTTGACGACGCCGAAAAATGGCGTCAGCTGTTTTTTTCAGAATAGCAAAATTCCATTTCCCCCCAAAAGAAAATAAAAAGAAACTTTAATGGCGTGCAACAAGTGCTCCTCCATAAATTCCCTAATTTGCAGATCTCTATGTTTCTGGTCCATTTTCGATTTTATAGTGAGATGAGATATTACCCATCTGATATCCTACATTCTTGGCAAACAACGTGAAATTCAATGCTCCGAACGTGATGCCTGGACATGAAAAGAAAGTATGTAAAAAACCTTGATGTGTGTTTGTCATGGAAGTAAAGACAAAAGACAAAGGCAACTTTATATCAAGAACAACTCGTCAATGTCTATAATAGTTTTATTTAAGATTTTTCTTCCTATTTACCAGAGATTTCTTTATGAGATTAGAAATCAAAAGAATTATAGAATCTATAAACAATGTAAACAGTTCAAGTCTTTGCAACATACTAGTTATTACAATAATAGATTTTCTGCTTTATATTTTACTATTTCCTTTGATTATTACATAAATCTTTGAATATCAGTTCATTCTAGATCATATAGGAAACAATTTTAAAGACTTTTTTACATAAATAAGTTTAAAATGGAAATAAAACTAATCACTTCTAAGTAAAAAGCTTGTATAAACTCATTTTATATTGAACACACCCTTAACTGAAACCCTCCAGGAATTATAAATAATTTACGCAGCGGGGAAAGTGACACCCAAATCATTTAAAGCCAAGCAAGAACCAAGAAATATAATTGTCCAAAAATTCCCCCTACAAGTTCTTTGACCCACTCCACAAATGCTTCCTTTAAATGGGCACAAAAAAAAACGATCACATTGAAAAGAAAGCCATTCAATTGCTTGGCCAAACATAAACACAACAATCAATTATTGCATAAACAAATCGATGAATGAAAGTGCCGACTCACAGAGAAATTCTGAGCAATTTGGATCGAAATCACCCGAGGAGAATTCTGCGGGCTATGCAAATGATGTCACGAAATGATGCCGTACCAGCATAAATGTTTGGGAATATTCC